TGACTGTCGACTGTTTTAACTGATGACTGTTTTAACTGATGACTGTTTTGACTGATGACTGTTTGTTATGACTGAATTGTTGCTGATCTTATGCTGTTGATTTATTTCATGCTGTTGTATTCATTCGTACTCATTTGCTCACGCAGACTCATGTTCGTGCTGCTGTTGATTGGCTTTTTTATTTTTATTTTTTGACTATTAGTGTTTAGTGTACCCTATTTTCCACCGTAAAGTTGCACGCCCTATAAGTCGCATCAGTCCAAATTTGTCTAATAAAGTGGAAAAATCCATAAATACATCGCTTCGGCATATAAGTCGCAGGGCATGCAAATTATGCAAAACACTGAGACTTATGCAGCGAAAAATACGGTATTCTTAGTTTAGCTGATTTTTTAGTTCATATCTTAGATCTTACTACTGTTTTTCTTTACAATTCAAATTTTTTGTTGGATGTAACTGGGACCCTTTATACACAATTTACCACATGTGGTGCAAACGACAAATGAATAAACTTTGACTTTGACTTAGAGTATTTTGTAAAATACTTTCAAAGCATATTGGGTCCTAAACTAAAAAATAATGCTTTTAACTTCATCTCAGTGCATTTAAAGAGACATGGTACATAAGTATGGAGGGTGGAATGTGGAACTCAATTAAATGTATCATTCAATAAATTCAATTCAAATTCAATAAATCATTAAATAAACAATTAACTGACTTCAGACCAAAGCAATGGATTTCACATGATCAATGTTCGTCCCGCCCACTGAGTTTGATGAGTGAGGCTGGCAGTTAACATAATTTCATGATGTCATTGGAGGGTGGAATGTGACAAAATTAAATAAATAAATAAATCATGAAATAAAGAATTTAAAAGGTACATTTATTTTTTTCATGGGACATTTAATTAATTGTGTATTTAATAATTTAATTGTATATTTAATGATGTATTTAATAATTAAATTAATAATTCATTCATTAAATTCCAACTTCAGGCCTGTCTCCAGACTCCCATTTGTCTCAAAATTACTGGAAAAAATAGTTGAGTCCCAGTTGAAATGTTTCTTGAAGGATCACGCCATTTTAGAGATGTTTCAATCTGGCTTTAAATCCCTCCACAGCACTAAGACTGCTCTTTTGAAGGTTTTTAATGACATTTTCCTAGCCACAGATGCAGGTGATTCTGTGCTGCTTGTCCTATTGGACCTTACATCTATTTTTGACACCATCGATCACTAGATCCTCATTAGGCTGTAGCTGTGGGTGGGCATCACAGGATCAGCCCTCCAGCCCTCAAATGGTTTAGACCTTGCCTCTGTGACAAAACCTTTTGTGTCAACATCAAGGACATCGGCAGCTCTTCTGTGGGGGGTACCACAGGGGTCCATCCTCGGTCCTCTTCTCTTTTCTTTACACCTGCTGCCTCTAGGTGCTATTTTCCGTAAACATAATGTACCCTTTCATTTCTACGCCGATGACTGTCAAATTTACTTCCCTCTGAAGCGCACCGGTGCATGCTCTGTTCAACCTCTTCTTGACTGCCTGGCCGACATCAAGGACGGGATGGCTTTAAATTTCTTAAGCTTTAATGAGAAGAAGACTGAATTCATGTTGTTTCATCCTAATGGCACTTTGAAGAACCATGGTATCGACCTCTCCTCTCTAGCCCCGTTAGAGAAACAAAGAATTACAAATCTGGGAGTGATAATGGACCCGTCCATGAAACTTAACAGTCATGTAAACATGATTGTTAAATCCTGTTTATTTTTTTCAGCTGAGGCGACTTTCTAAACTAAAGCCCCTACTGTGCAAAAATAACCTTGAGACAGCAATACATGCGTTCATAACATCCAGGCTTGATTACTACAATGCACTTCTGTTTGGAATCAATGAGATCTCCATTGCATGTTTACAACTGGTCCAAAATGCTGCTGCACGATTTTTAACCGGTAGTCAAAAGAGAGCACATTACACCAGTTTTGGCCTCCCTGCACTGGCTCCCAGATCATTTTCGAATTAAGTTCAAAAATACTCCTGTATGTTTTTAAATCTCTGAACAGTTCTGCCCCCTCTTATCTCACTGATCTGCTGCAGCCACATGGTCCACAGCATTCACTGAGGTCAGTGAATCAGATGCTTCTTTCAGTTCCAGGAAACCGTCGTAAGCTCAGAGGTGACGGGGCCTTCTCTGCTGCAGGTCCAAGACTGTGGAATGAGTTACCACTACATGTCAGGCAGTCCCCCTCTCTCACCGTTTTTAAGTCTCGGTTACAAACCTACTTTTATTCCCTGGCTTTTGACACAGTTTGCTCTTAACCTGTCTGTACTCTACAGTGTTAGCCATTTACTTATCTTCTTCTGTTTGTATCTATAGTTTTATTTTACTTTACTTTATTTTTTGCTGTGTGCTTGTTTGCTTTGCTGTACAGCACTTTGGTTGGCCTTGTTGCTGTTTTAAGTGCTCTATAAATAAAGTGGTATGGTATCCATCCATCCATTATCTTTACCCACTTTTTCCTTAATTAAATGATACATTTAATTGTTATGTATGTATGTATTTTTTTATTTAATTTTGTCACATTCCACCCTCCATATATGAGTTTTTCAAGCTTATTTTGCCTAACCCTTTAAGCCCTGCTTAAAATGTGCTCGTAGACAAAAAGCAGGATGTCGGCTCAGCATAACGTGACTCGTGTTTGTGTCGTCCCCTTCAGGTCGCAACAAGATTCACGTCTTGCTGAGAAGGTGGATTACCCCGCTTTCAAAGGGCCAAGTGCCCCTGCTGCCGCAGCTAATGGTACATCGGTAAGCGCCTTGTTTCCTGTTCATGCTTATTTTGCAATATCAAGATGTTTCAACACTTTACCGCTTCCCAGGTTTCAGTTTCAAGCTTAATTCACCTCCTTCTGTTTTTACCCCAGATGGGCGATAAAACTTTGGCTCAAAGTGCTCAAATGTATCACTATCAGCATCAAAAGCAACAGATGCTCTCAATGGAAAAGTAAGATTTTTGTTTTTTTTTTCTTTACGGGTCGCCACTAAAACGGCACGTTTTCACCACAACCTCTTGATATTTTTACCTCGTCGCCTCGTCTTGAGCCTGTTTTTGTGTCTCCAGCAACAAACCCGAACAGAAAGTCGTTGACAGCGAGGTCACATCAGACGAGGAGGAAGTGGGAGGAGGCTTCACAGTGTACGAGTGCCCCGGACTTGCCCCGGTGGGTTTCTGCGCTCACACCTGAACCACATGAATCATTTCTGGAACTCGGATTTTGCTAAACTGATTGTTTTCTGCTTTTTTTTTTTAATTGCAGACCGGTGAGATGGAGGTCAAAAACCCTCTGTTTGATGACTCGACTCTGGATTATCAGGGGAATCACAAGTGAATGCAGAACGGAGATCCAAACACACGTTAACGCATATATTCCTCGGAAAGAAGGGTTCTAATTTCACTCTGCCTGCATGGAAATTGAGAATGACGTTATTAAACGATTGTTTCCTTGTCCGCCTTTTAACTTATTTTTCCCCACTACGGATTTTTAATGCAACAAGCGTGTCGAGTTTCCTATTAATTTATTTCTGTCACTGTTTTAGAGCGACTCCTGTCTTTTAATTCCTCTTTATTTAAGTCCTGCTAGATATCTGAAGGTGTCTCTGTTTAAATGTTTGATTTTCCATTTCTGTCTTTACTATAGGTCTTAGTTTTTCACAGCTATTTCCAAAGATTATCATACAGTAAACTGACACATTTACATATAAATACACAAAAATACAGTAAATGCCCTCTCTTATTTCCTCATGTGGCTGAATCGCTTTTTTATTTTTATTTTTAGGAATTATATCAGATCTTTATAATACCTCTGTAAAATCGCAACACAATGTTTAGAAAATTGTTTATGCTTGTATTGCCAATTTCTTTCCATTCTAGAATGCACATAAAGAGTTTAAGATAATAAAAAGATATAATATAAAATGAAGTATTTACCAATGTTGCATGGTTTGACTGTACTGTGTTTGAATCCATCTGCCTCCTGTGTGTGTGCATCCTGTTGACGTGGGAAACATTCGATGGGAAAGTGGAGCACTTGAATGAAAATTGACACAAGCTAGACCAATGGATGTTTATGTGGTAAATATTAAACTAATGTTTCGTCCACTTCTCCCTCCCTCGGTCTCAAACTAACCCCGCGCTGCAAAATGTACATACGAAGAGTGATACTGTTCACTTTTTATAAATATTTGTACATGCAGACTTAAAAAAAAATGGAATTAAAACTTTTTATCACATATGGAAACAAGACTAAGGCTATTGTTTTGTGTAAAACCTATTTGATGATTAGATTGTTTCTCCTTTTTAATTTGTTTTAAAATAATAATTTATTGGGGTTTATTTTCAGGCAGTGCTCTTTAAAGACGGCTTGTTTGAAGAGCTTTAGCGGTCTCCCTCTAAAAGGAGCGTTATGTTAATTCAGAGCTGGAAACGGCAGTTTCACAACAAATGCTCAAAAGTAATCTGTTTTGCCTACCGTACCTAAAAACTTTTTCTTTAAAAAGTAACATGACATCAAAGTTCATGCTCAATAATCCAGGTACAAAAATATCTGCGTTTGTTTGTGGCTCCTGGAATCGATGAAGGACGAAACGTCTCGACAAAGAAACCGTCCGGATGACCTGATTGAACTTTCAAAATGTTGGTGGGAAAGGTGAAGCACCTTCATTTGCCTCACTCTGGGCCCTTGAGCAAGACCTTCAGCCCCCACCATCTGCTCCTCTGGAGCCCTAGATGGCAGCCCTCTGCTCCACACAGAAGGCTGTGGTAGCTCGGTGGTCCATGCGAAAACACTTAAAAAAATCTGCAGACTGCCACACAACTGTTCTGTAAATTAATTTAGTTTATTATTATTTGTATCTCAATAATGATTGGTTTATAAAGTACAGATCAGGTAAAAAAAAAAAAAAAAGCTGAGGTGACATGGTAATTATACACAGGGCTATTCAAATTAATGTGGCCCCCCCCCCAGTTACTGGAAGCCAAGAGCTCAGGGGCCGGACATCCAGCGTTTATTGTCATTAAGTTTGTTGTATGGGTTAAAATCTATTTTTAATTAAAAATGAACCCATTTGTGGACCGAACTGAGCTCATCTGTGGGCCTGATTTGGCCCCCGGGCCCCCAGTTGAATAGCCCTGCAAAGCAAATCTAGACTTCAGACCTGGCACATTAAAACTACATACACTGTAAAAATTGTGGCCCTGCTTAAATTAAAAAAATTGATGTCCATTT